CCAAGGTTACACCCTAAACGTCTTTTCAAGTCTGTACTTTATAACCAACAAACGCCCGATTCAGATGACACATGTACAAATAAAATCTGCACTAACTCACCGAAGTGTACGCAGATGTACGACCCACCCATCTTTACCATCCAGAACATCAGTAAGCATTCGTCTTTAAAACTTGATAACCCCCATTTCGTACTAATATCAGCAGCTTCACATCAGAGCAATCTAGTACAAAACGACGGACATATCTGACGGCAGCCATGTCAATCACGGAAAGGCGCGGTGACCTTGAGAAGCATCATCACTTTAGTGTTTAAAGATGATATCAGAAAAAAAAAGAATGTGATTGCGAGGTAGTTGTAACAAAAAAAGCAACACAAAAAAATTATAAAATTGGCTTTTTGTGCTTCATTTCTTTGTTTTTTTCTGCCGGTTCTCGTTGATCGAATATTTTTAAGTTTATAAATCACTGCAACATTAGCATCACTTTAACTTGCTCGCATTCTTGGCCCTAATTTTTATGCACCTTTGTGCATGTATGGATCATGTCTAAGTGTACGTGTGTTTAGGTGCACCTGTTTTCAGTGCTAATAAACAGAGAAAATATTGCCTAAAATAACAGCTTACTCAAAAGAAGCACAAGCGGTAAAACTTAAGGCTGCTTTTCGCCACTGGCCTGCGACATTCAAATACGGATATTGTAACGATGAAAAAAATTGTTCTATGCTAGGAAATAACAGCAATTAAAGAGTGAATATTTTGACCAAAAAAGTTTAGAAACGAAATTTAGGCTTTTGTTTTAGTAGACCTATTTTGGCCGTATGATGAAAACCTACCTAGCAGGTGTTTTATGTAGTTATTTGTAACCTTGCGGCCTCTAGGGTCTATTCTTAGCACATTCGTGTGCGGTGTTGCAGACTCGAATGCATTTTTTAGTATGTTATGAATGTATTTTTGCGGACCTGTTCTTGAAACTAGGTTTTGTGTTCTGACTAGTAACACTTCTTGAAAGATAGCTTTGCATAAATCGCGTCTATCATCTTTAGCCCTACATCTATAGCCCTTGACGGATTTTTGGAGAGAAACGAAATCTCATCATCCCTAATGAAAGCCTTTTGAAGAATCTACTTTGAGTAATCATGTGGAGAGTGCTTATCCAGAACATTAGAATAGCGAGGAGAATATGGCAATCGTTTCAACACTCAGTTCTTATTGAGAAACAGCCAACCTCTGATGTCAAAGCGAAA